CATCAGACGTGGCACAATTTTAGAGGGTGAAAATCTTATCCGAAAATTTAATTACAAAAGATTATCAAAATTAATGGTTTAAACTATAAAAAAATAGAAAATAAAGTACAATGAATAGTAATTGCCTTAGACTTGCCCTAGACTTTGCCCTTGTGGGTGGAACCACAAATGCAAATGCTGACACTATTTATGTGAATAGTGGCAGCCCTTGCTTGCCATTGCCTTAGACTTAGCCCCTGTGGGTGGAGATGCTCTAACAAAATCGGCAGAACTACCTACCTGTAGGGCCAGGGCCATTGATTTTTAAGTCTGCAGCCGTAGGAGAATGGATGGGGCTGGGGTTTGATACAGAAAACGTTTAAGAAGGATGATGCATGCATTTCACATTTTCACACTCCAGCTGCAACAACCACAGCCTCAAAGTTCAAACCAGTAAAATTTTTGAACAATTTCAAAATTCAAACCAAACAGACGAACGTGGGGCCGTAAGAATTGACAAAAGGCACGTGTATCTCGGGCAGAAGGTCACAAAAGATTGGGCAGCAAATGTCATCGCTGGCAATGCGTTGATGCGCACTGCCCCACAAATAAAATAAAGAAAGAAAGCATCCTAAGATGCCGACTTCAAACCGTATTCAGTGGGGCACGGCACGATAAATGTGAAAGAAAGATGCCCTTTCGTTGGCCTCCAAAGAAACTCAACTACTCTTCTATAGAAAAAAACCCCATCTCTTGCATAGCCCCTAAACCCTCTCGCAAGATCTGAAGATCTTACTTTGGGAACTTGAAGGAGGAAGAAACCTTTCTCTTTTTCTCAAGTTATGCGTGTGTTCGTGCTTGTTTGAAAGACATCTGTGGCGGATGAGATGGTGGATCTTTGGTCAGAATTTTCCTCCTCAGGTGATGAAGCATTGAAAATCACTATTTTAGAAGAGGAAACAGAAGTTAGGATTCATGGAAAATTTCCGAGGACAAGGCATGTGATATTGGAGTTTCAATCTTTGGAATGGGTGGCATCGGTAAAGTTACTCTTCATTGTCCAGGATGTAGAAGAGAGCTGGGAGTTGTTCTGCAACGAGTAACTCTAATATTTTTCTTCAGCATCCACGGAAAATACAAGATTTTAGAGAAGATAGCTAATTTTCAGGTTAGAAGGAAATAACAAGTGCTTAACTCAGTTTCTAATACAAAGTGTTAGGCACAAATTTATAAATTATACTTATTGTTAATAGGGTGGAAGACAAAGATAACACTAGTGTTATAGCATAAGTTCTTCGGTCATACAACATAAATTCTAATAGAAATGGAGACATAACATTCAACATTTGCATGTTATTGGTGTACCAGTTAATTTTCAATGGTGTATAGCCTCTATTTATTATATGTGTTTTAATGATTTGTGGTGATATTTGTTGATTACTTTTTCCAATTTAGATCTTCAATTGTTTTGTACCACCATTTCTTCATTTTAAAGACCTTTAAGAATCTTGTACACTGGGGACGAGAGCACAAAGAGTGAGTAACTCAGCAAGACACGATTCAAGGCACCTTCTTGCAGATTTGGGGCTTGCAAGTGATCATCTTCTAAGGGACTGAACCACCAATTCTTGATGCAAAAACACTTGCACAGGCTTTTACACCGGAGATCCAAGAACCTTTTTTGGCTTAATTCCATAATATGAGCATGTGTTATGCACCTGGTAACATTTTCATTATCTTCCTTTTTGTTTCTCTGTAAAGCCTAGAAACCAAATGAATTTGTTCAGTGCGATTAAGCCTAGCTCTGTGATGCATTTCTTTACCTGTAATCTAGGACCACTTGGATTTATGCCATGTTTTGGCTCAGGGCTGTATCAAATGTACCTAAAATGCAAATTGTAACGAACATGGTGATTTAGCCCATGAGAAAACAGGAAAATACTTTTTCCCTTTATTTTGGTATATCCACCATAACATATGCTTGGTTTATGATACTGAAGCAACATAAAATGAATGTGCACTGTGAAGTTAGCACACATAAGCATAATATACTTATAGCAGCTATTTTGCACATTCATAATATTTTTGCACCTAAGTTGCCTCCACCATTGCGATCAATGATCAGATTTGTTTATGCTAAAAGGGCATGTGAAGACACTATGATAAGTTCTAAACCAAGCTATGGGCTTATGTCACATGGAAATGCGATCCTTTTTTAAAGTAAAAAAGGGAATTAATGCAGGCCGGTTTGGTTTGGTTAAACTGTTGGAGCTGGCCTGGTTTGGTTTTACTACCGAAATTCAGAAAAAAAAATGAAATTGGACCAAACCGGCTTGATAGGTCCGGTTCGGCCAGTTTGACTGGTTTTCCAGTGCAAATGCCTAGATGAGAGTGATCTTAGCACTAGGAGATGTAAATGTTGGACTCATTAGGTTTAACACTTCAATTTGAAAAGTCCTTTTGTTGAATCTCCTTTGCTTGTTCCTTCCCATTTTAGTTCAAAACAGGCAAGATGAGTTAAGATGGGACTCTTTGACTATAAATCTAGGAGGCCTATGAGATAGGGCTAATGGGGCAAAACAGGATAGTCATGCAGGCAAAAATTTGATTCTGCTAAATGTTGCGTTGCCTCCTCTGGAATAAAAACCAGAAGGAAACAAATGATGCATACACTGATACAGATTGGGAAGAGATTAAGTAAATCCAAACCATCTCACGCAAATGACGAATGCATTGAAGCTATCCCTGTGAACTAGAAAAAATTAATGCAGTTCATAGTTGGAATACATTGTTCCTCAGGGGTAAAAGATTTCCATTCCAAGAAAATGCTATCTTGTAGTTTTCAATATTTTGCAGTATGCACTTCTGCTAAAAGATTTCCCTTCCAAGAAAGCTTTCTCAAGTATTTTATTCAATCATTTTTTTCCATCTTCACAATCAAAGAAATCAAAGATGAAGAATGCACAAGGCATTTGTAACACAATGGACAATGAGCAATGAGGCAGCTAGGTGTAAGAAGCCTTCCTTCAGCCTTCCTGAAATTGATTACCCCTATATGTAGGGAACAGCTATCCTCTGCGTACCAGTCGGGCCTGCTACCATATCCTCCCAAACCAGATCTGAGAGTGCCATTGTCAGTTCTCCCACCTTTCCTGTTATACAAAACCAATTAAAAAAATCAGCAATGCATTGTCTTGTAAAAAATCAAAATATCTCTCCCCATTGAAGAAGCAGGGGAGAGGATTTTACTACAGAAAATAGTAGAGAGCCTCAGTATCAAAGCCCTCTATTCATTCAAAGGTGAAGAACAGTTTAAGAGAAAGCTGTTACCATCTCCGATGGGTTGTTCGTCCCACGCGATAATTGGCAAAACAGGAAGTGTGCTGCCTACAAACATCATTTCAGCTGAGCTTTTGGCTTCTTCCACAGTAAGATTTGTAGTTTTCACCCCTTTTAGCCGCCCCTGCTCAACCAGTTTTGGTGCTAGTTCAAGAAGCCTTAGCACAGTACACCCGCTAAGGATCTTATCAAAGAAGGGCACTACAAGCTCCTTGTCATGAGTTATAAAAGCAACATTCACATTTGGACCTTCTGCTATATAACCTTCCTCATCAACCCATATGGAAGCAAAGGCTCCCTTCTCTTCAGCTTCCAACTTTGAAAGGACATTTGGAAGGTAGTTTACATTCTTCATTGTTGCAAAATCTGGTGACTTCATGGGAATAGCGGATGTAATCACTTTAACTCCTTCTTTGCACTGAGAAAAGTTCTCATCGATGACTACTGCATAGAATGCTGGTGTTGAGGACTCTGCAGGCGTGAGCAAGAAGTTTCCAGGACCTGCACTCAACCAATATCTTAGAGTTCCTTTCTTGATCTGTGATGCTGCAGCCAGTTGCACAAGAATGCTTCGAAGAGTTGATCGAGGGAAGGGAGAGGAAATCTTTGCTTTTGAAGCTGATCTGAGGAAGCGGTTTAAGTGGACGTCCAGTTCATAGATGAATCTGCAGGAATCACAATTCAAGTCAATAACTGCAATTCTGCTCCTTTATTGGATATGCAAACAAAAGTACAAAATTTAGAATCCTATAATTGCATGAAACCTTACAACAAAATCATTGCAAAGCAGAAGCCATAAAGCTTGAGATGTGCCAATATAAATTTCAAAGGAAAGAGGAAAGTATAATGCCTACCCATTTAAGATAATTGCTGTGTCAAACACACCATGGCCTCGATGAACCATGTGATCATCTATTGGAATTACCATCAAAGCTGGATCAAGAATAATTCCACCATAAGTGCTGGAATACATGGCTGGGTATGGTTGTTTTTCAACCTTGCTCCACTTCTCGTGCAGCTTTTCCAGCAACTGGTTGATGACATAGTATAAGCTTAGAAAGTTCAGAATTAGTCCAAAAGAAATAAGAAGTAGAATTTTAGATTAGGCCATAAGAAGGATACTTAAGTAACAAGCCATTGATCTCACAACAGAAAATGACATGACTGCAGAAACCAGAGGTGCAAATTTAGTCACTACAACATATCAGGAAGTGACAAATTCGTGAGCCTATCAAGTTGGTATGGAAATTAGGGAACTACCTAAGAACTCTCTAAACCCAATACCTTCGATCACACACACACACACACACAAAAGATGATTTGAAACCAAACTACAAACAACTGTCCTATGTCATTGTATGCACAAAACATGTAGAGTAATGATCGCCTTTTGTACAGCGTACACAGTTATGACCAGATATTAGGAAACCATCTAAGCATTATAATCTCCAATCAGAATAATCTTCAAATTTAAGGTCATAGCTGATTAACAAGGTTCGCAACTTGGTGCAACCATCACGATTTACAGCCGAAATAATCTCACTCACATGCAGGATCCTAGATTGAATATTGATTTATTATGTTCCCCTCCTTCTACCCATAGATCAAAATACTTGACACTGACAGAAAGGTATTTGCAGAACATAACTGGATGAAGAATGGAAAACATGTTGCCCTTACGATCATACTGTGACTTGCAGTTACAAAAACCTTGGTAGGCTGTGATATAAAAACTGGGGGTTTCGAGTTCTCACCTCGGATGATGATTGAAACACATGAACTTTGAAATCCTCGACATTTCCGGCATCCAATGTGTCTTCACAACAGCAGCAACATCAATAGCAAGTACATCAACAACCAAAGCACCAATTATGTTTACAGATCATCATGATCAGGTAAATTACGAAATGGGACAACCCAAAAAAGAAAACTACACAAAACAAAACAAAAGCTCACCTGATTTCTGGTCAGAAGAAGGACTGTAGCTTGCCATGGATTAGCAGAAGCAGAATTTAACAGAGCTAACTACAGAGAAGCAAAAAGAGCGAGGAAGAAGACTGATGGAGGTATAATTTATAGGAGGGAAGGGCATAGCAAATGGAATGATATAGAATTGCTTTTGTTGGTATTAACTATTCTAATTAATTATAATGAAAGGGAGCCGCCTTCTGTTTCCACTTTCAACCCTTTGCCTTGAAAGTTTGCTGTTTGTCTTGCAGTGTATCAGGTTACTGACTTTTGTTCTTTCTATTGTTCTCTTACTAGTGGAGAGACTCTATGACAAGGTGCTGTGTGATGATTGCAGCGAAGCAATACTAATTCTTCCTATAGCTAAGTTTTATATGCTGATAAGAAAATAAGATTATAGTGAAATGAGATATGAGATAAGATTTTGTTCATTGAAGTTTCTAAGTTTTCTTTGGAATTTCAAATAAATACTTCATATTTAATTAATTAATGTTAGAATTTAACTTTGTTTAGCTAGAAACAAAATGTCTAGTCATTTATTTGGTAAAAAAACTAAAAATTTCATGATTCAAGATTCTTTTTAGATTAAAAAATAAAAATAAAAATATGAAGGTTCTTTTTATTTGGACAGCTTACCTAAAAATCAATGATGACAAACCGCATAAGTTAAAAGCTTTGTTTTATGCAAAGGACCGTTAGTGTAGTGGTTTGGAGCAATTGTTTTTGCAGATAAGATTCTGGATTCGAGTCCTAGAATTCGTGTAATATGTGTGAATTTAGTATATCGCACCTCTCAATAAAAAAAATCTTTATAAATTGTTTTTGTTTTTGTTTTTTTATTTATAAAAAGGGCTATGTTTTATTCTTTAAATCTGTGTTCGAATGTAATGATTTCTGTGCTTTTGAACTGTGGGTTCCCACGTACCGACGATATTGACTATGTGGAACCAATTAAACTATAATCAAGGTGCATCTTTTTTAATTCTTTATTAAAAGACAAGTTTGGATGCCATCAGCATTCACCTGTCAAATCCTAATTAGCCAAAGATGAGAAATATTAGAATATCTCCCTAAGTTGTTGTGAGAGCTTTCAGGTAAAACCCTAACCCCACAATCCTGCCAAAGCAAAAAGATTGGTTAACTTTATAACAAAAAGATTGGTCAACTTTATAACAAAAAATATTGATGCAAGAGTAGTGGTACCCTCAGTCGCGAGCAGAGACATTTAAGCTATTGATGAGTGTTAGCCACAAGTAATATTGATGCAAAAAAGTTGTGCTGTTGTCAGTCGCGCTTGGCGACTATGGTTGTGCTTGGCGACTGTGTTGGGTCTTGATCATCAGGATACTATCGCATAATGCTTCAAAATTTGCGACAAAAAGGGCGATGTATGTCATATGATCTATTATTAGTAATTCATTACAAATGGGCAGTGGAAGAACAGTATTTTCAGTTCAAATGACCATGCCATCAGCAACAAGAATTTTCAAGCTGATTTACATGTAATTAGCTATTTCTCGTCACTGGCATATATGTGTGAATGTATCTATAATTTTCTAGCATGCCTTTGATAGAAACATTTTGTCCTCCTTAAAGCTTCTTCAATAGAGTTTGGATCGGCAGC